CGGCCCAGTGCCGGGAGTGGCGACCCAGGGAGCCCAGAGCCGAGTCGGGCTGGCCCCCCGCACCGGGCAGAGGTGCCGCCTCGGCTTCACAGACACGCCCGCACCCAGCAGGCCCGCCCTCGGCAACGAGGCAAGGCTCCACGTGGCGTCCCCGGGGGCCAGGCTGGAGCCCACAGCCCCACGTCTCGGAACGCGGCGCAGTCGGCCCTCAGTGCGCACTGACCGGACCGGACAGCACAGCGCGTGCGGAGGACACGGAACCAGAGCCGGTGGCACGGGGGCCGGCTTGTCCTCGGCGTCAGCGTCCTCCCGGAACGTCCTCCCGGGACTGGCTGAGTGGGGAGGGGCCTGCTGACACGTGCCCCAGGCTGGACGAGGGGGTGCTACACCCACAGAACCGACGTCCCGAGCGCCAGGGTCGGGGTGCAGCCGCCTGTGGTGGGGCGGGGCGGGGGTGGCCTGCCACACATCGCCGGGCTCTCGGCCCGCACGCTTGGCGTCCTCCCCGCCGAGGGGCCCGCGGGAGTTGAGCGGAGACGGAACCTGGGTGGCGGGAGCGCGTGGGGGCCCCAGTGCCAGCCGTGCCTGCGGCAGGCAGCTTCGCTGGACACCTGTCGTGTCCGTTTCCACTGTCGCATCGCAGGCGTCCACCTGCTGTGGGAAAACGCGAAGGGCGCGAGGCAGCCCTCGCAGGCGACTGCTTAGCCCACGGCGCGGGCTCCTCGGGCTCCCGGAGGCCCTCACACTGGGGGCGGCCGGGGGCGGGCTGCAGCCCACAGGGCCACGGCTCCACGGGCGGCCGGGGAGGACGGGCGCTCCACGGGCATCGCCCTGATGCAGAGACAGTCGGTGTCTGGCCTCACGGGGGGAGGGGCGGGGCTCGCACAGGAGGGGGCCATCGGCGCCAATGCGCCTGCACTGCTCCCCGAAGAGGGCGCCAACAGGGGCCCCTCGCCCTGGACAGTGGCTGAGCGCAGAGCGAGCACTGACAGGACATGGGGCCGCGGCCCCCACACTCTAGGGCTACTGACCCCCAGGTGCTTAGACCCTGCAGCCACGTGAAATCGACACGCCGGACCACGCCAGCTCCAGGCGCGAGCCGAACTGGCCAAGGCCCGGCGCACTCGGTGCAGGCGCGGCTTCCGCCGTAGGGGGTGTGAGCAGAGCGGGCCCGGGCCGCCCGCCCGGAGCCCCACGCAGGAGCAGGCCTGGCTCCCCCCTCAGGCCGCCCCGGCCCGCGGCCTGACCTGGATGCCGGGCATTGGCCGCGGGGGTCGGGAGCGTGAGCCGCGGGTGACGCGCATGCGCCGCGACGCAGTGAGGAGCGCGTGAGCATTCCGTACCTGACACTCAGGCATTGCCACGGTTTTGTACGGAAAAGAATCAGACGCTTACTGTCATCGGTCAAAGCAAAATAGCTGCCCGACTTGGAGAAGGTGGACGCCAGGATCGCGTCGCTGCCCTCGCCCACGGGCCGTCCATCCTGCCTGAGGAAGAGAGGAGAGAAGGGTTGGGCCTCCCCGAAAACTGAGGCGCCCCCCCCAACCCGGGCCGCAAATCGGGTGACGTGGCCAGGGGTCCGGGTCACCACGGCGGGGTCTAATCTAGCTCGGCCAGAATCTCGGCGAGCGCGGCGGGGCCGGCCGAGCCGCCTGAAGGGCAGCGCTGACCAGCCGAGCTGCCTGACCTGCCACCGGAGCGGCCACCGGGACGCCCGGCCAGACTACGCGCAAGCGTCACACAGCCCCCTCGCGTGTCGTCACTGTTCGTCCTCCCGGGGACCCCACACAAGCCTGCCCCTGCACGGCCGCGGGGCGGCACCCGTCTGACGCCCCGCCCCACCGGCTCCCGCCGCGTCGCCTCCTGGCGGTGCCTGCTTTCTGATCCCTATTTGATGTCCCCCGCGGCCCTGTGAGGAAGCCTCGGAGTCTCTCTCCTGGCGAATGTCACTCGGCATAGCCCCTCCCGGCGTCACCCGCGCGGCTACGTGCGGCACGCGGCCATCTTTCCGCCTGCCGTATAGTCTTCCACTGCACCTTCTCGACCCAGTCACCTGCTCCGGGCATTTAGTTGTTTCCACACTTAAAGCCTAACTTAGAACCTAGGGCCATTCTCTTTCCTAGGCCGGGGTACCTGCGTCATCCACAGCGCTGGGGAGCAGAAATGAAGAATTCAGCAAGGAAGCCCTTTGCCTCCAGGCCACGCAGTCCCACCACAGAAACCACGGCTCAGGCCCCCGAGGAGGCTCCCAGCTCACCCTTTATTCTCTCGTGGCTCCTCAGCAGAGCTGCAGTCGTACGTGAAGGGGCTGCCGTCCTCGCTGTGAAACAACCAGAAGACTTCACCAGGGCGTGGCTGACACAGACGCGGGCTCCCCCACACAAGACCACCCAGGCGCCAGGCTCCTGTCGGGCAGGGGCCGTAGGGAACAGCTGCAGAGCTGTCTGGGCCCAACCGAGCTAGGCCTGCCACAAACTGCCCCACAGGAACCAAGCACAGTAAATGGGATAAAAACTCCTTAGCAAGTGAAACCCCGTTCTTCCAGGTTCTAGAAAATCAGCGCAGGGCAGCGGCGTTAGAAGGAACCAGGGCTTTTTCCAACGGGCTGTTGGCATCCAAGCATTGCCACCTGTCACTCACCCACGCGCCCCCCAGGCTGCCAACCGCCTACCAGCACAGAGGTCGCCCCTGTTCCCTACCAGCCCGGAGCTGAATGCTCTATGCCGCCCCTGTTTGCAGTGTCTGGCACAGGGCAGGCAGCTTTTAAAACGAGTGTGCCCGAGCCCTCTCCCACAGGGCCTGCAGCTAGAGGCTGCCTTTCACGTCAGAACTCGGCTTGTCACTCCGGGTGAGCAGCCCGGGACTGGCTGTCCCTCTCTAGAGGGGAGTGACAGACGCTGGGCGGTTGTGCAGGTGGGAAATCGGGATTTGGCAGCCAACTGAGTTTGAAACATTAAGCCAAGAGCACAGAAACCTGGACAGACAAGCAGCCTGCTGCACGTAAGAGAACAGCGAGAGGACAGGCAGCTGGGGGCCAAGGGCCAGACTGACCCCATCTTAGCCAAGGACACCCCATCAAAAGCATGCACCGATTCAAAGAGCGGGCGCTGGGACCAAAGGGCGCGGGCAGAAGCCCTCTGGAAGGGGCGCGACTCGGCCCGGTGAGCGCCGCGGAGCGGGCAGCCCAGCAAACCGCATGCGGAAAGCGCAGGTGGCTGCGGGCGCGGCGGGCCGCGC